GGCCTAGTGCAAAGCCGTGGACTGTCGTCGGGCTTGAAAACGTGGCTCACTTCATCTCTCGAAAAATGGGTTTTCCACCGCTGCGCTTGTACAAAACACCTAATTATTCAGGAGTTCGACGCATTGGTGGCGGCAACCTGTGCGGGGGAGACTCGCAGCTCGCTGTAACTTAGCGCTGGGAACTCGACACGATAACTGCACTTCAATATCAACAACTTGTTGGAACAATACATGTACACGTCGACGCGCGATAATTACGTGACCACGATATTGGTGATCACCCTTTCAGGAACCATGGTGTGCTGCTGGGCTGCGAAGGGGGAGGATCGCCACCGCTGCCATGCTGCAAGGAAGCACCAACGACTACACGTGAACTTGACGAACCCTCTAGCTGTCTGTGAGCGGCGGTGAGCCCTCGTTTAATGTGCTTCAGGAAGGGCTCTCCATCGTGAGCATCCGAGTTTCTTGGGCGCTTGCTAGGCTTTCGTGGCCCGCCGAGGCCGCCCCGGGTACCAACGTCCATACACAAATCCAATGAGGCAGCTGACTCGATTAGGCCTAACCCTATGCTGGTCTTTTCGACCAGTCGTTGCTCCTAACTGAGCTAAAAAGCGTATGGTTTTTAACCAATCAAAGGCGTTTTGGTTCGTCTCTGAGCGTCGCGGCTGTCGCCCAGTGAGTCGCTCAGTGAGCGATGCCTTCTTTTCTCATGTGCTCCAACTGCAGAGATCTCGAGCGCAACCTGCTAGAAGAGCGCCACCACCGCCAGACGGCTGAGTATGCTCGTGATGCCGAGCTGCAGATGCGCGAGCGAGCGGACGATACTATCAAAGAGCTACGCAAGGCGATCAAGGAGCAGCGCAAGAACCTCGACGAGCAGCGCGAGACGATCATGGAGCAGCGCATTACCTTCGGCAAGCAGCTCGAGACGATCAAGCAACTGCATGAGACGAACAAAGAGCTGCGCGATGCCATGAAAAAAGAGATCGAGGCCAACGAAGACCACCGCAAGACGATTGAGCACCAACAAGACCTTATCGACAAAGGGATCAAGTCCAATGAGATCCAGCAACGCATGATTCAGGACCTGCAACGCGAATTGCCGGCTCTTCGGCACCAGCTTAGACAGCAGCAAGTACAGAACCATAGTGATATGGACAATCTGCGTCTCGAGTTTAGAGCACAACGAGAAAAGGATCGTGCATTGGTCGAGTCCAATCTTCGGGCATTGAAGCGAATTCACAACGAGACCGCGCGATGCCGACCAGAACTGAAGCTACTCGCGGTCTCTTCAAATCGACGGACAGCCTTGACGATAAACGAGGGATCCTTCGAAGGAAAAATGCTAGAACGCGTTCGTGCGTTCAATGAAAACAGACGCGCTGATGCGAGAGCTGAAGAAGATACGCGCGTGAAGACGGAGATCACATTCCACCACTCGAAGGAGAAAAATTTGAAGAGGACGATCTCACGCGGCGAGCGCACGCGCGAAATATCGGTGAAAGCGTCGGACACGGTCGTCGTCCCCGGTGTGGTGGACGAAGCTCGTCTAAAAATCGACAGCGCGCTCGATGCAGCGGGGCTGGTCAGTACATCTGTTCGTCAAGATATTTTCATTGAACTAATTATCTTCTTTGCCTAGGACAGCGTGACGAAGTCGCGATTCGATATCTCCGGCGCGGCATCAAGTACGACAAGCACGAAGGCGTTGACGAAATCGTGTTTGATAGCCTCGACGAAGTCGTCGCCAGTCACAGAGCGTCGTCGAGTGACAAGTACTGCAAAGCGTCGACGTACTTGCTCTTGAATGACGTGCTGGTGACCCCTGTGTGGCAGTTCGAAGTGGTATAACCAATCAAAGTTCACTTCTCGTGAGAGCAAAAACATGAGATGCTCGCGATGCAGCAGTAGTAGAGCACTGGTACACACCTCACCTCGGGCACCTCCTTGGTGTCCGGGATCAACTGCAACCTCCTGTCTCTTGCAGGAGCAATCTGACCCCTGCTAAGTTCAGAAGAAGTGTCGGCATCCATATATTCAGCACAATAAGGAAATACTAGCACATGTAGTACTTTGGACCAACCTCGTGCTCAACCAGCACCTCCATTTGCTTATGAGGTCTGTCCAGATACTAAGCTTAACGGGAGAATCAGGGTGGGCTTCTCAACGGTCAAGTCTAGCACGACGCTAGCTTCGTCCTCGCGCAGTAGCAGCTGGGTGGCATTCATCAGCGCGTGACTCACCATCGCGCCAAGTACGCCTTCAAGCACAAAGTCCACCAGCTCCAAGACATGTTGATGGTAGTACACCACGGATCGGCTCGAATGCCAGGCGCAGAGAGGTCTGGTCGCTCGTCTTTGGGTAGCTCACAAACGCGAACGTCAGCTGCGCCTCTGGTTCCATCCCGGAGGCAACGCGACGTCGAGTTTCCTCCTCGTCCAGACCCAGCAACGGCGAATACAGCGGATGCTTCAACGTGCTCAAGTCCGTGCCCACGAAGTCCCCCACATGACCAGTAACCTCGAACGTGTCCTCGTCAGCAGAAATTTTGCCTTCCACATCGTAGCTCGTGTAATTGACACCGGCATTGCTGATGTCGAGACGCGCAAGCTGGCGATGAAGCTGGTCCTTGTTAAACGTCAGACTGAATTGTACCAGCGACGCGAGTATTATAACGAGCGGCTTTCCTCTAGAGCGCAGACTGGTTAACGCAGCAGCCTCCATCTCATGGTCACCACCGGGGGGGTGACTCCTTTGTAGATTCCTTCTCTGCTGGCAAACTTCGCGGCGGTGTGGCATCTTCAGACGGGAGATCATAGTCATGAGACTGAATTGCAGATGCGTACGCGGGTATGATGCGGTAGAACAGCGCCACAGACGACGGGGTCCATTGCAGATGCAGCACGTTCAACTGCACGTCTGCCTCCAGTTGCGATGCCTGGCCACTTTCTTGTACTCTCGGTACTCCATTATCCTGAGAAAACGCCGTGACGTCGATAGCGATCAGGTGTGGAGTCTCGCCTGCGTCGTCTTCACCGGTAGAAATGAGTTTGTAGTAGCGAGACTCGGGCGAATACAGTTTATCTTCCATCACAAGGGCCTTCAATCGTGCGTGGAAGTCCTGGAGGGCTGAGTACGCTTCCATCGAGAAGGACGTTTGCGAGGCCCGCAGGATAAATGCGTCCTTAGCAGCCGACTCCCGCAAGTTGAGCTCCACACATCCAAGCGACAGCTCCATCTCCAGCAGGAATTTCTTCTCGGATGTTATTAACGGGAACGACAGTGGCATTGCTTGTACCTTCATCAATCGTGCTTTCGGAATCCGTCGCACTCTCTTCGTCGCCACTCTCATGATCTTGATCCTCGAAGTAGAACAGGAGCCTACCGTTATCCCGGGCAATGGTCGCGGCTTGTGCAACTATGGACGAATGGATCTGGCCCAGCGCCACAAGCTGCTCCTCCACTAGGCATATCGAGATCTTGGGAACGGCAGCGTAGATGCCCAGTTGCGGCAGCGGCCTTGCCTCCACGTCTTTCCGTCCAGTACGTGAAGAAAGTCGTGAGCTAGCTGCGTGTGAAGTGAAAACTCAATCGACAGCTCCTTCACAATCTTGTTGACGCCGCGGAGTTCTTCGTCAGACCAGTCCACCAACTGCTCCTGCCGTCCGAGCAACACGTGAATCTGGGTCACGTCTAGCCGCCAATGCAGTCGACGGGGATCTTCTCCTGTCGTTTCCAGCCGTGTCGATAGCCGTAACCTTTATCAACCGTCATCCGGACAGGCTCCCTGCGGACGCGGACCTTCAGCGTGGCTTCCACGCTGCCGTTGGGTCTGTAGCACCGCCCGACGACTCACGTCGATACTGACGCAGCACGTACCCGGGCCTTCCCACGGCGATAGCGACGATGCCGGGCTACAGAACGAATGGAACCGAAAATCGTGTGCGAGCCCGTTAAAGAGGTCGAAGTGCTGCACTTGGAAGCTCGCGTCCCCTCGTTTTCTGGCTGAATGTTCACAGCCAGCGAGCCATTGAACATTACAGTCACGAACAAACTCTCGTGTGCGTTGGATTGAAACAGCCATTTGTCAGCTGAAACTGCACGGACACCGGGTTGCACCCCATCGGCACTTCGTGTGCGTTGCTAGCCTTCTCCACAGCGTTATTATAAGCCTCGCGTAGATTTTCCCAGCCCTCGACGGACAATACGTGCTCCTCCGCTGCTTCACTTGACGCGGGAGCAGATTCACTTTCGCCGACGACGAAATACGAGTACCACGAGCCACCTCCGCCTTGAGTCGCCTGTGTTTTAGCGTGTTCTTTGGCCGAAGCTTCCACTTCCTCCTTCGCACGCTTCTCGGCGGCTTCGGCAACGTCGCGTAACAGCAGCACCACATCCAGCGGGTAGATTTCTTCATATCGCTGCTTGAACTTGCCCTGCCTCGTCGAGGGGTCCAATGGTGAATCGTTGCGCAGCTCCGTCCTGAAAGCCTCGACGTACAATTTTTGCTCCAGCAGCGCCTTCTGTACTGACGACCAGCGCATTTGGCGGTG